CAAGCCGCCTGGCTGTGGGGAAATGGGCGGCTGGGACGAGCTTTATCCGCTCCCGATGCTGCCGTCCTGGGCAACGGGTGCTGCTGCCGGGATGGTCTCCTTGCACCTCATCCAGAAACTCCTCTTCCCCTACTTCTGGGCTGACCTGAGGTACCTACTGAAAGTATTGATGTACGGGCTGCGAGTGGAGATGTACAGGCTGCAAGGGAGGATTGTCACCGTCCTGGACAAGTTTGTGAAGCTGGCTGAGAAGCAGCCCCACAAGCCATTCCTCATCTACGATGGGAAGGTGCATACCTACCGAGACGTGGACAGAAGGAGCAACAGGGTGGCGCAGGTCTTCCTACACCACAGGGCTCTGAAGAAGGGCGACACGGTGGCCTTGCTGATGGGCAACGAGCCGGACTTCATCCATGTGTGGTTCGGGCTGGCCAAGCTGGGCTGCGTGGTGGCTTTCCTCAACTTCAACGTCCGCTCCAGATCCCTCCTGCACTGTGTCAGTAGCTGTCAGCCCAAGATACTGGTTGTGGGAGCAGGTAGAGTATACATCTGGTTCATACCTCCAAAGCTTTCGATGTCATGTCTCCCTGGTGTATGTCTCTCCAGCTCCTTTACTGAAAACCTGATTTTCAGATGTTCACAGATCTAAAGAAACCTAGGGCTAGAAGAGACTTCAAGAGATCATAAAGCTCAACCCTTTCAGGCAGAATCAACTATATCCATGCTTTGGGGACATCCATTTAACCTCTTCTTAAAATATATCATTGCAGGAATGTTTGTGATATCTAAGTACAACCTGTTCCAAGGGTTTAATTGCTTCAGTGGTTTTTCAGTGTGTCTCAGAAAACATTAAAATGATATATTAAGAGTAATTTCCCATTCCTTTTTAAACAGTCAATCTTACTTAAGTCATGCACTTTCTTCTCTTACACTATCTACCCATCTTTCTAGTGATCAAAACCACTGCAAACTAGAATGTGTAAGCTGAGACTGTACAACCTCTGCTGTAAAACTATTCACAGAGGTGCGATAGTCTTTCAGGGACTAAAACTGAGAGGCTTTTTTACAGGTGTAGCACATAGGAGGTTGATTTGTAATAACCAACTTGGTGTTGGATTGTAGAAGAAATTGGTGTGTTTGAATAGGAGATAACTGTGTTGTGTAAGCTTCCACAGTATTACATTTTTATTAAGTGCTTCAAAAGAATTTAAAATATTGATGTAGGCATAGTGTGCATTGTATATTCAAATTTTCCTTCAGTTATAGAGATGTATAAACTGAAGACAGATCCAAAACCGAAGCTTGCCTCAGCATTTATGATCAAGTGGAAGTGAACCTACAATGCTAAAAGATCACACAGAATCTTGACATTTGGTTGGAGGAGGATATTTCTAAATATTAAATATTAATGCTGTCCTGCCTCTCTAAAACTATTATTTCTAGTCTACTCTGCCTTATTTCTATTTCACAAATTCTTGCCTTGTTCCTGTCACACAGGTTGTGGGGTTTTGCATCTGTGGCACCTAAATGGCGGAGTTTTCTTCCATGAGTTCTCTGCGGCTGCAAATTTGTGCTTTCAAAAAAGCATATTGAAGATTTTTGCCTTGCATATTTTTTAATTATAAATTTTCTCATTCTGATTCTATCTGGTATGCTGGTTTAAGAATGCTTGGTAATTAAAACAAGCTAATGAAACGAAAGCCAATTTAAATCCCAAAACACATGATAACGATGCTTCTGAACTCTCAGTTTTTAGTTTTGCCTTCTTACTTAACAAAAAAAAAATCTAATTTAAAACCCTCTCATGAATATGTGCTTTTTAGTGTATGTATTGAGGAATGGGATTAATGTTCAGGAAATTCTTGTTCATTGACTGTGGTGAAGGAGAACTTTGGATCAAAACTTGTATCTAAGAGTAGTCTTTATTAAAATGAGAAGTGAACTAATGAATGAAAATAATATTTGCAAAGCAGGAACAGAGCCTGTGTTTCTCCACTCTTAATTTGTTACCAGCAGCTGATAGTAAGAGCAACTGGGTTGAACTAGCTTGTTCTGGGACTCTGCCTCTGCTCACAAAAGAGCTTTGTGCAGATGGATAATAACAACAGAGTAACCAATAAATTAGTCTCTGAGCTGGTCTTTTGTGTGTTGGTCTTCCTACTTTATTCATGGATTTCAGTCTCTGCATTAAGTTTCTTAGTCCCTTGAGCCTGCAAGACTTCGCAGCATTCTTTGGGACTTAGAGGCTTTTTAAAATATATATCTGTGAAAAAAGTTGAAGTTCTGTTATGTCCTTGTTTATTGGCCACATCATAAGGAAAAGGAGCTCTCCAAAGGAGTCCAAGTTTCACAACTGAAGGTTCATGTACCATTCAGTGATTGTGGGGTCTAACTCATACCACTCTTGAAACATGTAGGGTTTCTGGAAAAACAGAGGCATATTGTGAGCAACCCAGACACTCTGAATATGGACTCGATCGGTTTGTAGTAGTACAGGCTTCAAGCAGCACAGGCCGGTTGTGGGAAAACAAACCTTTCTCAGGCCGCTTGCGGGAAAACAGACCTTTCTCAGGCTGGCTGTGGGAAAGACAATCGTTCTCAGGCCAGCTGCAGGTAAACAGTCGTTCTATGAATACTAACCAATCATACTTTGAGTATTGACTATGTAACCGGGGTGTTTTGTTGATAGATGTTTTTATGTATAGTAACCAATCATAGCTGAGTGTTGCACCGAGTGTTTATGTATAGTGACTAATCACAATTAAGTTCTGTCTATATAATCCAGATTCTTTACTAATAAAGTTGACTGTTATGGATCATATTGGTCGAGTTCTAGATCCCGCCGCAACAGAAACAAAAACATATTATACATAATTATTGTACATAATAATTTCCCCATAATGTTTATAAAAATTGCAGGGCAGTATTTAACGCTGCGGTTACACAGTCAGTTAGATAATTCTCAGAGGTCTGTTAAACATCTTTTCATCCAGTGTTAGTTTGTGTTTTAAGGGATTCTTCCTCGTCAGTAGGCATGACTTGAACTTTCTTGTGTGTTTTGCCTTTGTTGCACCATTTTCCACAGCATTGTGCATACCTTGAACATGGTATATTTTTTTCAAAATGTTTCTACTAAAAACAATCAACCTATGGTCCAGTATCTATCACTGTCATAGTTAGGCATCATTTGGCAGCTAGGACTGTTTTTTTTAATCAGAGATTAGTATGTAATAGTATTCTTTCTGGATAGTGAAAGTTCTAATTTTCAAAAATATATAGATTTTTCACCCTCCATGAACAAAACCAGGCTTGACTTAGCAATTCTGTTTCTTGTAACAGTTACAAAACTATCTTTTCAATATTTTGGATGACCTTCAATCTTGTTCATACACTGCAGCACAGAAGAAATCATCCCCTTAACAATTTGACCATTAATTTTCTATGCTCAGTAAGATCAAATTTGCTTTTGAAATTCTTGTCTGTAATGGCACATTAAATCAGGAACCTGTATTCAAATCCATTTAATATTCAGGTTTCATTTGTGCTGAAATCCTTCTATCTTCTGCTGGTGTCTGGAACGGTTCCCACAGATAATTCTTTGTTGTTTAACCTTTCCTGCTCAGAATGGTGGTGTAGCCTTCTTCTGCATGAGATGACTGCATCTTGCAGGTTCTTTTGATACATCTTGTCATTTTGCAAAAATGCTTTTATTTTTACAAATGTGATACCTCTATCCAAATAGGCTGGGTTCTATTTATGGTTGCATTTTCTTCCACGCCTTGTTCAGTCTTTCATGCTGCCTCTTGCAAGATGACTCTCGTTTGTGGAGTTTGTACTCTTCAGATTTGTTTTGTGCTTGCCTGTTTTTCAGAGGTTGTGGTGTTGTAACCTGGCCCAATCAGTATCATCTTGTCTTTCCCTCAGCACTTGCAGTAAGACTTTTTTCTGGTCTGACACTTCTCTGATATTTTGTTTGCTTTTTCTGACTTTAGGTGGGAGTCTTCCAAGAGTACTTAGGTTTGGGGCGTTTGCTTTTGACTTCCGTATTCTACGAACTCTCTGCATGTTTTATTCTTAAGCCTCAGATATGCTATAAAAACTTCAAAATTTCTCCCTCTTGTCAGTTTCTTACATGAAATGGTATCTCTAAAAAGTTGACTTTTTTCTGGTATTTTAATTTATTTATCACAATCTAGGAACTTGGGTTTTTCCTTCTCATCCAACCACAGGCTGTAAGGCAAATACAGATTCTCTGATTTGCCAGTATTTAGATGTTATGTTCCTTTCTAGTATTTCCAGTTGCCTTTGTGGCACAGGGAAGGTTTTTGCTTTAGCTACTTTCATTTGTCTGCTGTGTTCCCAGAGCATTTATCTCTTGCTTTAATTTGTTATGTAACATTCTCACACTTTCGTTCCCAGAAATACTGCCTACCACCACTCCCATTCTGGGGAATGTTTGTTGAAAGAGATTCAAAAGTTGGAGTTTAAAACTGCATTTTTAATAAAATAGCAGTGAACTAACATGTAAGTAAATGAGGAATTTGGAGAAAAAAAGAAGCTGCATGCTCTTCTTCTCTCTATCAGACTGCCAGCATTAGCATACTCTTAACAGCAATCTGACCTGTTTAAAAGGTATTCGTCCTTACTACATTTGTTACCAGACTATGCCACCCTTATTTGTTTAAAAACTGCTGCTTAAACAAAGGAGTAAGGTACTGGTTAAAGTGAAGGCACCTTTTAAGGCACTGTGTACTTTCTAGGGAGTGTTCCTGTTTTTTTGAGTCTTGCTTGAACAAGGGATTACATTTTATCTTTTGGGCAGTACCTGTGTAGCAGCAATGCTGTTAAGCAACACTAATAATCTAGTGACCCACCAGAGATTTGCCACTGCATTTATAGTATGTTGCTACTTGAAAGAGTTCAATTTTTAGTCGGACATCCCAGATTGCCATCATGACTTCTGATGAAAGGATTGAACTGTGAAAGATTGCATTAGTAAACTCCATGAGATTGGTTTTACATCAGTACTGATAGCAAAGGCTATTGAAGGAGTGTACATGCCGTATGGACATGTGTGGGCAGCCTGCTGTACGTGGGCCCGCATGAGCAGGGGTATTGAGCCAAGATGACCTCCAGAGGTCCCTTCCAACTACAGCCACTCTGTGATTCTGCCATTCTGTGCAGAATTACCTCTCCCAGCTGTGCAAGTATAGCATTTTCCTGGCCAGGATTCTTTACTCTAGAGGCATCAGCAGTGCTTTTTGCTGCTGCTGAGTGTATTCTGAACTTCTCACCATTTGAGCTCAGAACCAGGGTTTCTGCTGGCAGGAGTAAAATTCAGACAGGAGTGTGTCTACATCCTGGAGAAAGAGAGTAAATGAAGTCTTTTTAGTTATCGTGAATTAGGATCATCTGGTATTAGATATGAGTAGCAGTGTCATCTCTCATATGTTAGTCACTGCATGAAAAAATAATGGATTTTATCAAAACCATCTTTTCTTAACTGTTTGGAATAAAAACCTATTTAGATGTAAACATTTAGGACAAAGAAACCATGGAAGACCTGCAGAAGACACTCTTATCTGCTCTGTTAGACACTGTATCTCTTTGATCACTTGCTTTTACTCAGTTTGTGTGTCTGTCCCAGATGGGCTTTGAGTGGAAAACAGTGCCAACTGTGATTCCCAAGCTGGTTTCTATTTTACTACCTTTGCTGTCTTCAGTGACGTTTCAAGATACCAACACTGATCCTGAGCCACAACTGACTTGCAATTTCTGGTATTATTACTTAGTAAGAAGAAGTGCTGAATGTGAAGGAGTCACTTGGGGAAACAAGTACAAGTAACAATTATTTTCTGAGGTCAGACAGTGCAGGGGAGAGTTTGGACTTGCCATAGCTTACTGAACATATTCAACCAGGGTAAATATCAAAGTTATGTAAGAACCATTTCATGCAGTTCTCCTTCCGAGCAACTTTCTGTTCAGTACAAGTTGATCTCGTAATCTGATGTATTCCTTTCATCAGTATAGGACTGTGTCCTTGCCAACAAGCTGCATTGTTTCTTTGCTGGAAAATAACATAAAAAAACCTTTTGTGCAACTTGAAGCCTAGAACAGTAGTTAAAAACAAAAACATATTTTGCTTGCTTTCTCAAAAGATATAACTGTGTTATGTTTTTGTGTGTATTTAATGTAACAGTTTCACAAACTTTTTGTTGAATAATGAAATGCTTTAAAAGCAAGAAGGAAATAAAAAAAGCAAAAAAGCAAAAAAAAGGAGAAGCATATTCATCTTGACCAAGTACAGCTATTTTTTTTCACAGCAGAAGCCAAATAGTTAGCAAATGGTGAATATTCATATCCAAACTATGTAAACAACGTGCACAGAACTGCTGTTTACATTGCCAAACTTCAGATAAGCAGCCATTTCTTCCAAAACAAATAAACCAAAACCTGAAGATACTTTCATCATGTAAAAAGCAAACAAGAAACCACAAGCTTAAATACCTGAATTACTTTACCATAATTGCTTTCCTGTATAGTAAAGTACACTTATCAGGTACCTCTAGAAATAATCAAACTGTAGTTCCTCTAAGAGAGCAACAAGACGGTATGTGAAGACCCAAGAACCCTACACAGTGACTGGTACAGAAGTTCTTTCTTCACAGAATGAAACATTAGTTTACTATCATCAGAATTCTTCTTTGGAAATATGTTAGTACAACTGGGAGTTATCTTCAAAGATCTCATGCTCCTGTGTGTTCCAGAAGCAGTTTTCAGTTTCTGGCACATTGAAGACAGCTGTTTTAAATTACACTTTCTTATTCAGGAAATCACTTATTATTTCTGCTGTTCTCTGCTATCTAACTAGAAATTTCTTTCACGATAACGTATAATTACAAGCTGTTCATATACTGTTCCAAGTACTAGATTCCTGAAGAAGCACAGAAGAAAAACTCCATTGTATAATCAATTCATAGTTCAGTAGGAGTTAAAAAATGAAATAAGACTCTGTGCACCAATAAAAAACATAGGTTTTATGAGTGAATGTTTAGAAAAACAATAAACTGTGTGTTGATATTATTTAGAGTAAGTATGTTTCAGTCTACTAAAAGGGAGCTATGCCCTCTTGTCATTCTTTAATCTTAAATGATTGTGTCTGTAGAGTTGAAATTAATAGTTGTCATCTTTTGTCCTTTGAAAGAAGGAGAGAAAACAGAGAAAAGGAAAAGAAGAGGTAAGTCCTCTTCTTTTTGACAGACTTGCACTTCGTGTTACTCAAATACACAGAGAACTGGTGCACATCTTATCTAGACCTTCTGAATACTAAAAAATTAGAAATATTTGTGAATTTCTTCACGTCGTGCAGTTGTAAACAAAAATGTCTTCTGTAGAGAAGTTAAGAGTAAGTAATAAAGCTTCATCTTCATCACTTTCAAAAATGTAAAAATCAAAACAATGTAAGGAAGTGCAAGAGGGAATGAATTTATATATGGAAAACAAGGAAATGCCACAATGATCCCTTTGGTGTCTGCAGCACTTAAAAAGGGTGATACTCACTGAGTATTTATTACTTGAAAAATATAACCTAATTTTATAGTATGACAGCAAAACAGAATCAATACGCCAATGAACCTTGACTTTCAGTGCATTGAGTTTCCTGCAGTTAACACTATTGTCCTTAACATTATTTTTTACTCACATTTTTTCATTCTGTAGTCAAATAATTCAAACAGGATGGTAGCTATCTTTCAATTTTTTATAATTATTTGGGTGATTGCTTCCTGAAATCTTTCTGCAGTGCAAGGAAGTTAGATCTATTTGCTAAACACCCATAAAACCTATAGAACTTGTACTCGGTAGGCTTTAGGTTTGTAAGACATACGTTTAGTTGATGACAGTAGGCAATAGCTGTTACAGAAATTATTACATCATTCATTAAAATATATACAGCAGTGTAATTAAGAAAGTAGGTTTCTGAAAGATTAAAAATCTTCAGTTATTTTGGTGTAAAATTTGTGCAAGAGGGTTCTATTAATGGCATCCATATTTATTATTTGTGAAATGGGCTTGGAGTTGGCATGAGTTGACATCAAATGCTGGCTCTGGCAGTGCCTTGTTATGAGGTTCTGGGTGAGTCATGTCAACTTTCTTTGTTTATTTATCTATAAAAACTGAGATAATAACATAAATTTATACCCACAGGGATATTTACAAGATTAATTACATAGGCTGAGATCCAGCAAAGCACTTAAGTGTAAATGAATCTATAAATATATGAAAAGTTCTATTGAAAGCAATATTATTCCTGTTCTTGAGAATTTTCCTGGATTAGTACTTTAATGCCTGTGCAGTGTTCTGAGAAAGTGACAGATTGTAGAAATGCTTAGAAATATGCCAAACGTATTACTTAAGGATTGGCCTCTATTTATATTTTTTCTTTTGGTTAATCTGGGACTCTCTTTCATGGTTTCTTTCCTGAAAAGCCAACAGAATTATCTTAGTTATGCTGCTGTTTTTATTTTAGAAAAGTGATATTGTATTTATATTTGGGTAAAAGCCAATGGAAGGAATGGCTTTGGGTGAATGAACATGTGATTATAAGAAAATAAAATTGTGTGATGTACCTAAAATCAGATTCATTAAGGTATCTAAAACAATCAAAGGACTACATAAATAGCCACATGGTTCTTTGGCAGTGTCTGAATAAGCAACAGGCCTGTATCATATTTCTCTTCTGTGAAATTCAGGTACCTACATACATGATATAGTTTTTTGTTTGTGTGTTTGCATTCAAATTAGTCACTTCTGTACTTTTGAAAAAAATAATGCTCGATGAGAGATTGCTGTTAAGGGCATCCAGGGAAACCTGTACTGTAATTACCAGCTATATTTATGCCTTGCATCTTCAGCAGACTTCTTCATGGTTCATTTGAAGTTGAAGCTTAACTGCACTTCATTCTGGTCTTAGCAATGGCCAAGGGTTATCCAAAATGAGGTGGGAAGCAGGAGCTAGTAATCAAGGCTCACCATTTTGCCTTGAGGGCTAGCTGACAATTAGACCTTGTGGGGTCAGCAGTATTTTTACCATGTTATATCCTGTTTTCAGTGAATTTTCATTCCAGTTCATCAGTATTTAATTGAATTTATTTATGTTCATGAAGGTGACTTGCATTCCTATTCCTACTATAAAATGTAAAACTTTCAGAGGAAAAATACTTTATTTGCTGGTTTTGTGATGACATAATATAAGTAACATGATTTTATGTTATTTTTTAAGATTTGCTTGGAACACTGGAAGAAATTCTTCCTAACCTCCAAAAAGACATTAGTGTTTGGATAATGACCAAAGTCTCCACTTTTCCAAGTGTGCGTACCCTTTTAGACAAAATAGAGGCTGCATCTGAAGACCCGGTTCCAGTTAATCGATGCTCTACCAACAACCTCAAGTCATCTGTTTTATATATATTTACTTCAGGAACAACAGGTACAGATCTGCTAAAGAGTCTGTATTTTCCTTCAGCTTTCATGTAGAAACTTGATTTTCCAAATCTTTTGGTTCATCTTTTCATAGCAGAATATCATATTTCTTATCTAGAAGCGTTATGGTAGCAAATAAGCACATTACTTGTCCGTGACTGTTTATATTCAGTGGTTTATGGGCTTCTCTTCTTTTTTTCCTGCCACACTGTGCAAATACTGTGATAACGTTTGCCTTTTATTACTTCACAGCTAAGGTATTTATAAAATGTTTTGCTTTCTCGGTGGATTTACAATGGTAAGAAGTTTTATTTTGTGATCACATACCACTGCCTAATTAATATAGCTAACATTGTATCTGGAACTTTAAAAAGCAATATTAAAACAAGCAAGTAGTCATTTGGTTTTTCTGCATTAAGTCATGTTCTGTGCAGGTCACTGTAGAGACAGAAAATAGGATTAAGTTACTAGCCTTTTAGTTTAGCAACAGATGGCTGAATTTATTACCAGTGCTCCAGCAGCTAAGAAGCTAAGACTTTAAAAAAACTGATCACTGACATGAAAAGCAGCATGATGTTGTTAAGATAAGCATGCTGGCATTCCCATTTAGCTGAACAGAAAAGTTTTAGTCACAAGAAGATTTAAAATGAAGATGTGTTTTCTGGCTTTGTTCCCTCTTACAAATAATAATTTAATTTATTTGCTTTGGGTTCTGGGGAGAAATTAGGAAATAAAAATATCACTCTAGAATAAAAAAGTTAGGAATGTATAAATATTGTCAAGAGGTCAGGTAAGTTTGTAGTACTACCAATGTAAATATGGTTGAGCTTGGTGGTTAAAAGTAAGGAGTTTTAGCTAAAAAATATTATCGAGTTCTCTAGATGGGAAGATTTTGTTCTTATAACTGTATTCAGAAAATCTGTGTGAAGTCTCAAATTTTAGTTATGTAGAATTTGAAATATTTTCAAATGCTTGTGTGTATTACATTAATTTATATTGGATTTCTTTTGTGTACCATGTAACTAAAAGAATAAGGTTTGTTTAGTCTGAAGAGTATTGAATAACTAATTCTAATCTAAAGTAACTGAGCATTTTCACACTTTTTGATAAAGCCAGAGCATAGTGTTGCTCCTAACATCAATGACTGGTAAACTTAATTAAAAGAAAGAAGTATCTTTCATGGTCTGTAGTCGACTGTCTGCAAAGGCAGAAGGAGAAAACTCAAGACTGTAGAGCACTTCTTGCTATTAGTGGTTCACTGGCAACATAGGCTTATTGCCTTTTCTCTTTAGTGTGATTGGTTTTGGAATAGCTTTGAAGTGTAGCTAGAATCTCCATAGATTCCACTTCCAGTATAACAGCTCTAGTTCAGTCTTCAAATGAACGGTATCTTTGCTAGAATAGGTAAGAAAACTTTCTAACCAATTACATTTTTTAAATTGTTTAACAGTTCTCACTGTTCATCATCGGGACTCAGCCTGAAATTTGTGTGTGTATGTGAGAACATACATGAAGCAAGAACATATCCCCTACTCAAAATAATGGGTCCCAGAGTAGTAGCCCAAGAAGCTCTTGCATATGAGTGCATGTTGCTGAAGAGAAATTCTGTGCTGAACCTGAAGAAACTCATTAAGAAGAGCCTACATGGAGTGGACTTTTTAATGGATTTTTTTTTTAAATTCTACGTAGTCTTCATAGCATTCTTAAAAAATAGGTAGACTTTGATGTACGCATCTTAGATAAGCACCCACTACATGATGTGTGTTGTGTAGCTCCCATACCTTTCTTAATTGTGTTGCAGTCAGTATGACTCTTGCCTGAAAGAGATCTGGTGCGGTGCCTCTTTATGTTAAAGGAAATCCATATGTACAGTAAATGCTTTTGGCACTTTGTTGGCTCTATATAATTTGATAATGTGCGAACCATGGAGTTTCTTCGTATTTCCACCTATTTGAACTGACTTGACATCAGATTAAATAACTAACAAAGTTACAAAATGGCTTATGTATCTGTATGTGTACAGAACAAACATGCAGTACTGTATTAAGCAGCCAGTTTTCTATTAATGGCCGTCTAAACGGCTGAAAATTTAGTTACGGAAGAAAGAATTCATTCTTTTAAGGTTTTAGAGACCTTACAAAGGAAAAAAAAATTGAGTTCTTTTTAAGAGAAGCTTTATGCATGGTTTTATGTTTTCATTACAGGTCTTCCAAAGGCTGCGGTCATCAGTCACATGCAGGTTCTTAAAGGAGCTTCTGGACTGTGGGCTTTTGGTGCTACTGCAGAAGACATAATTTATATTACTCTGCCACTTTATCACAGTGCAGCATCTCTTCTTGGCATCGGTGGATGCATTGAATTGGGTAGGTCTTGTTTCACTTAATTGTATTGTTAATAAAGAATTAATTATTGTAAAAATGTATCAAACACGCTTGGGTTCACTGTCATTAGGGAAACATGCTTTGCTGAAATCAGATAAATAGTATTTTCAGAATGGCTTTATATTCTGGGGTTTTTGGCGATGGAGAGATGTTGTCTCTTACAGGCTATCTTTGTGGTACTGGAGAAGAATTGGCTACAGTCATTTGTGTCACACATGTTTTTACTTTAGGTAAAAAGGAATTTAAGGACATACACAATATTTTGACGGTGTATATAGCACAGTAGTATATGTACAGAGTAAGCATTCTACTGTGGGATAGAACTAAAATGTATTTTGGTAGGCTTAAAAAGGCTGATAAATACATTTACAGCAAACATTCACCTTTGTCATATAGCAATAGATATATATATCTTTTTCCCATTTAATTTGTGTACTGTTTTGGCACAGATGATAAAATATGTGTTTTACTGAGACAATGTAGGTGTCCTCAATGACTCTGTTATAAAAGATTTATTTGGAACTGGATGGCAAACATTTCCTGTTTCCTGAAGCACCAAGAACAAGTCAGAGCAAGGGAAAAATCACTGGATTATGGATTCATTCTGTCTGAATCTGCATCAATGAATACTTTCATCATTGAAAAATGAGGTTTCAGTGATACTCAAATGATTTGCTAATTCAGGCTGACTTTTCTGGATATTTTCAGTTAAAGTCTTTTGAATAATGTTATAACACTAACAAAGCGAAGCTGTCTTCTTGCTTTTAACTGCTTACCTATCAATTTACCGTCTCACCAAGGAGCAGGCTGGGTTGATCTCCCTTCTTTGTCTACCAGGTTTGAATATGTCTTCTAATAAAACAGCTGAAGTACCATATAGTTCTCTGAATGAGGCTGCCCATTGTTCCTCTTAGGTTCTATTTTGTAGAAACAGTGAACATAGCTAGCTAAGTTGCCATAGAGAGAAAATGCTTCGTTTCTCTTTCTACTGTTTCCATAAAGGTGCAACATGTGTGTTAAAAAAGAAGTTCTCAGCTAGTCAGTTTTGGAGTGACTGCAAAAAGTACAATGTGACTGTCATCCAGTACATAGGAGAACTTTGCCGTTACCTTTGCAGCCAGCCAGTGGTAAGTGGAACCAAAATGATAGCTATTTGTCTGTAAGTGATACATACATTTATTGTACTTAATGTGGTTATGTTAAAAAGGGAAGTAAAACTGTACTGAACCTGTCCCTCTGAGGTTTTTTTCCAATATTTGGTGATCTCTAGACTGTAAAAACACCCAAATGGCTGAAATCAGAAAGATGTTAAAGTATTAAATGATTTTGAGACTAAAAACTGATTCAGTATCATTTGGTGAAAATATATTATTTCACAGAGTTTCACAATGTAAGTTCAGAAAACCAGGATTAATGTTCAGTGTCTTTTCAGATTTTTCAGAACTTTGTTTCTTGGCACATAAGTATATCAGGTTTTGTAGGTCATGTTTTAGCACTGTTTTACTTGTGGAACGTGCTTGTTTTGAGACCATCTAAATCGTATTTTTAAATTTAGAAGGAATTTGGTCTAGGTTAGCAGCTCAAAGGAGTAATGGCTTTTGCTCCAGTTAGAAAGCTATTCCATACCACAGAGCTAGTTTTGCTAAAGTGACATTCCTGTCTGAAACTGTTAGCCCTAATTTGAAAATACTTCTTTTGCCTTGGCAGTCAGTGTTGTGATGGTCTATCTACATGGTCTCAAGTACAAAGCATGCTGAACCTGTTGTAATTGCCAAGTATAGCTGACTCGGGTTAATTGAATTAACTCTTGATCTGGCTGTTTTCTGGTATGTTTCTGTATCTACCCACTGGCAACAGAGAGAGACCAAGATGTTTAGGCTAAGCTAAATGCCAAAAGTTCATGGAATTAATTCAAGATGTATAGAATAATATAGATGGAATGGATATAACCTATTGCATAGCAAACTCAACTGACTTTCTGTCCTCAAATGCCTGTGCTAAATATGTCAAAATAACATTAATAGTCCAGTATAAACTAAAATTCAGCTTGCTAATGCTGGCAACTTCCATCCGTTTATGAGCTGCAGATTGTCCTATTGTGTTTCAGTAATAAATCCTAAATATTACATCATACATTATCTTACCTGGTTAAGCATTTTAATAAATTACAGAGTTACTTATGATAATAAACAGCTTTTATTTGAATACTAAATAAAAATAAATGACAGCTTCCAAGTACCTGTATAGCATCAAGCAAAAAATACTGTATTCTCTTTTAATTTAACAAAATATTTAGAACACACAGAGATTTGTGAAAAAGTACAGAAGTTGGATGCAGTGCAGCTGTTATCTCTTGAACATTCTGCCTTTGCTTCCATCATAATTGCATTTTGTGACTTCAAAAAAATAATCAATGGTTTATTTCCTTTTCAGTAAATTTTATTGAAATGACTCATTTCTTAGGAAATGGTGCCAATATTTCAAATTAATTAATCTGAAAATTCTTTTCTAATCCAAGTCCACATTTTATGATTTTCCAGAACAACCTCCTCCTTAAGCAGTGTTCTAGTAATTTGAAGAGAATGCAAATCAGTCTTGTTTTCCAGCAGAATAACAATTTGCATTAATATCTCAAGTTGTTGACCAAAGAATGGAAAAGGTCAGTGTTCATAAGATATTGGAATTTTTTTTCCCCTGAAAATTTTCAGAAGCATGTTTAAGTAATGTAGTGATAGGTCGTAGATCCTACAGCACTATCTATGCATGCCTTAACAAAGAGAATGTTCTTGAATTAAAGAGGGGATGGCTCATGTCCCAGTCACCAACACTGGCTGTGATGTGAAACCAGGATAAGGATACCTTTCTCTCTCTGTTTCTTTGTTTTTTGGTGTTTTTTAAATTTTTATTTGTTTTATTTTAACCTTATAATAAAATAAACAAAAAGTTACAGGATAACAAAAAATCAAGTTAAAAACCATAAGGAAAATCAAAACATAGAATGGCCTAGTTTTTATAAATAGTGGTTTTTCTTCATTATAGGCTAACATGATTTCCCCAAAGTCATCTCTCTTCTCTCCAGCGCTTCCTAACTTTTGCTGTATTTACAGCATCAGATATTAATTGTTCTGCTTTTACGTCTTTTAACTGTACAGTTAGAGCATGGCATTTTGTTTTAACCATTTTATCCTGTTCTGTATCTTAAAGCAAGGATGATAGATTAATATACTTCATTTTCTGAAATAAACTTCATTTTTAAATCATTACCAAGCCAATGTAAAGTTAAAGGAGTTTTAAATTTTGCAAATAAAGTTATTTTTACTGTCATTCACTATTTATATTTACTATATTTATACCATCATTAACTATTGATTAACTGTATGACTGTTATATTTATTAATTTAGGTGCATACTTTCTAGCAACTGGCATGTCTAAACTCTTTGCTTTGTGAGGCTATGGGATTTTTTTTGGTTTTGGGTTTTTTTTGCTAGCTGGCTAAAGAGAAACTTCATGTACTTTATCAAGAAAACTTAAAATTATAAAATAAATCTGTTTGACAGCTAGGTACCTGAAGAAAAATAGTAAGTATTTGTCTTGTTAAAACTGGAAGAGAAACATGTTCACACAAAAAAATGGAAGGATTTAAAATATATTATGCAATCTATTATTATTTTCCAAGTAGGTGAAATATTTTGGCAAGTTGTTATCTCTCTTTAAGCTTCATTAACTTAGAAGTACTATTTATGCTGGCAACATGAGAAAGATATGGCTAAAAAAAGTTTTAAAGCTCTGTGAAGATTTTATGTGGGCAGTGTTCTGAAGGTTAGAGTACTATAAAGCCCTTCTAATGATGACAGATTAAAACCATAGCAATTATCGTAAGTTCTTCATTTGTTTATTTAACACTAAACTTGAAATAAATGGTATATTTCTAATAGTTGGAGGCACAGTGTGGCCTCTTATTTCACAGATTTTAAACAGAACTTTTGGCACATCTTTGTGGTAGCATACGGACTTTTGGCTTAGCTTTCCTTACTTGTTTGTCTTTTTTGATCTTTCTGCCTCCCACTCAAATCTGCAACAGCTCTTCAAGACTCTTTTGTAGTATAATTTTTCTGAAACCTGTTCTGCACCCAGTTTGGTTTAGTAACCTGTTGACTGGAAAGAACATTTGTTAGAAAAGGAAGATGTCTTTTTTCCTCAAGTACAAGTACAAAGACCTTGCATTATATGACATTCACAGATTTTGCTGGGCTCCTAAATAAGTGAGTAATCCTCATACCTGCCCTCTTCCAAGCTCCTTTTCTGCAGTCTTTTGGCCATAATGAAAGTAGAGGAGCCAGCATTGATAGCTAGTAGCCATCAGTGCCTAAATAATGGAACCTACTATAAGATATTACCATGACTACTCCAGTGAAAGACATGAATGGCTTGGCTAACTAATAACTTAGTCTTGCTAGCTGACATTTCTCAAAGTTTCTTAACAGTGATCCTTAAAATTTTGAAATTTGGCATAGCAGAGCTCCTTATTTCTCTCTAAGAAAAGGCCTTGGAAATACTTTTGTAGTAATCTGTGGATATGTTTTCCTTACAGAGTTGCAGCACATTTAAAATTTAGCACTTAATGTGTATACAAAATCTTCCTAATTCACTGCAGATTTATTTCAAATTTGAAGTAATGAACTATTTAAATAACACACTGCATCCTGAAGCTTTTGGAAAGATATGAATGGCAATACAGCACATATTTTCTGCTTTTCTGTAAAGGAGACCTGAATCCTGAAGTGGTTTACAAACAGAGGCTAGAAATTAGTTTTCTTGATCATTATGTCCTGTCTTTTAGTCTCATAAGCTGTTATACATTATTACATTGATTGTATGATTTATGTAACCTTGCATGAACTTGGTAAGCTCTCTGTTAAAATCAGAGTTCACTTCTACTTATATTCAAAGTATGTCTCACAATCAATTGTATCGTTTTTGAGCAATTTTTTTTCAATATCTGTCCTGTTTTATATCCATTAAGTATGGAGCCTAGTTATCCTTCGGCATCAGTAACATTTCCTATTTCCCTGGGGTTACCTCAAGTGTATAAGACCATGTATATCATCTTTCAGACTTTATTTTGTTAAGCTGAAGAAAGCCAATGTCTCTACTAGATCCAGTTTGGCCAAGATTTCTCTGGATGGGATGAAGCTCCCTGAATTGACTTTAGAAAAGATGCTTAAGGATTTATGTTGTTAAAACTCTTCTGTGTTAGGACAATAGTAATTAAGAAGGAGAAAATAAGGAAGTCAATGCTGTGTGGTAAGAAAACAGAATGAACACTTATTTCTCTGCTGTTAACTCAATTGTTGTGGGAAAGGGTGTAAGAATGGGGTTTATATATGCTGGATAGCACTGTCTGCCACTTAGAAGCAGGTTTCTTTGAAGGAAGGGAATTTGATAGTCAAGTAAGGAAGGAAAAATGAGTCAGGAGGTACTTCTCTACCATGCAGGTTTTACATCACATCACATGTTATTCCCCATTAAAGTTTAGCTGATTTATGTTCAGTACTGGAAATTGTTCTTTTTCTCATCATTAAAATGTGGAATGAAAATTTGTCAAGACCCTTGCAGGTTTTTTGCATAAACATTTTATTAAATACCCCAAACAAGTAATGTGTCACTGTTACAGACAACCACATCTGTACCTTCCATTTGAAACCTCTGAATGATCTCTATATGTCATTACAATTTTATTTACTGGGGGAATTTTGCCATTTGTTTATGCTTCTAGTAACCTGTGGGGTTTTTTAGAAATTTGCGACCACTTGTATATGTCATAAGCAGACATCATTCTTAATCCAAGTAGTAGCTGATTTATTACAGTATTAACAGTGTCTAAAAGAAGAAATGAGTGCTGTTTATACACGCAGTTAGAGAAAACAGAGCTTTTAAACTAAGAACATATTCACTACATCTGAAATGAAGCTTAGAAATGGACCTGGGATTTGGAAGCTTGTATTTTTTCACTCCAGGCTGTATCAGTTGATCTAATAAAGAATGTACTGTATATCACAATTAACTTTTCTATGCTTTAAACTGGCACGACTACAACAACAGTATTATTTTTAAAAAGTGGGTTTA